TTATGAATCAGTCTTAGTCTTTCTTTTAAATCTTGTTGGGTTTAATTATTTTATTGAAATAATTGAATTATTAAAATATAATTCACACACCATACAATTTACCCCTTGAAGTACAATGGTCTTCAGTATATTCAGAATTTTCAACCATCACCACATTCAATTTTAGCAGATTGTCATCATCCCAAAATGAAATTCTATGCCCGTTAGCAGTCATTCCCTACTGCCCCTTCCCCCTGGTAACCACTAATCTACTTTCTGTCTATCCTGGATTTGCCTATCCTCAACTTTTCATATAAATGGAATAATATAGTATGTAGTTGTTTTTATCTGGCTTCTTTCACTTAGTACAATGTTTCAAGATTCATCTACGTGTTAGTATACATCAGAACATTATTATTTTTTCTGTTTTTGGAGACAGAGTCTGGCTCTGTCACCAGGCTGCAGTGGAATGGCATGATCTCGTCTCACTGCAACCTCTGCCTTCTAGGTTCAAGAGATTCTCCTGCCTCAGCCTCCTGAGTAGCTGGGATTACAGGTGTGCACCACCACACCCAGCTAATTTTTGTGTATTTTTATTTTTATTTATTTATTTATTTTTTGAGACGGAGTTTCAGTCTTGTTACCCAGGCTGGAGTGCAATGGCATGATCTTGGCTCACTGCAACCTCTGCCTCCTGGGTTCAGGCAATTCTCCTGCCTCAGCCTCCTGAGTAGCTGGGATTACAGGCACGCATCAACATGCCAAGCTAATTTTTTTGTAGTTTTAGTAGAGACGGGGTTTCACCATGTTGACTAGGATGGTCTCGATCTCTTGGCCTCGTGATCCACCCGTCTTGGCCTCCCAAAGTGCTGGGATTACAGGCTTGAGCCACTGCGCCCGGCCATTTTTGTGTATTTTTAAGAGAGACGAGGTTTCACCATGTTGGCCAGGATGGTCTCGAACTTCTCACCTTGTGATCTGCCTGCCTGGGCCTCTCAAAGTGCTGGGATTACAAGCATGAGCCGCTGAGCCCAGCCCATTATTTTTAACTGCAGAATAGTATTCCACTGTGTGGATATGTCACATTTTGTTGATCCATTCAACAGCTGATGGATACTTGGGTTATTTCCACTTTCTGGCTATTGTGAATAATGCTGTTTTGAACAGTCATATATAAGTTTTGATGTGGACATAAGTTTTCACTACTCTTGGGCACAACTTAGGAATGGAACTGTGGGTCATAGGGTGACTCTATGTTTAGCTTTTGAGAAACTGCCAGACTGCCTTACACAGCAAGTATATATTTTATGTTCTCACCAGCAATGTATAAAGATTCCATTTTCTCCACATCGTTGTTCACACTTTTTATTTCATCTGTCTTTTTAATTATAACCATCCCAGTGGTTGGGAATTAGTATCTCACTGTGGTTTTGATTTGCATTTCCCTGATGCTATGTTAAGGATGCTGAACATCTTTTCATGTTCTTACTGGCCATTCATGTATCTTCTTTGGACAAATATCTATTCATATCATTTCCCCCCACCTTTTTTTTTTTTTTTTTGAGATGGAGTTTTGCTCCGTTGCCCAGGCTGGAGTGCAGTGGTGAGGTCTTGTTTCACTGCACACCGCAACCTCTGCCTCCTGGGTTCAAGCGATTCTCCTCCTCAGCCTCCTGAGTAGCTGGGATTACAGGCCATGCCACCACACCTAGCCAATTTTTGTAGTTTTAGTAGGAACGGGGTTTCACCATGTTGGCCAGGCTGGTCTCGAACCCCTGACCTCAGGTGACCTACCCGCCTTGGCCTCCCAAAGTGCTGAGACTACAGGCATGAGCCACCACCGCACCCAGCCCCATTTTTCATTACTGACTTGTAAGAATTCTTTTTTTTTTTTTGAGATGGAGTCTCACTCTGTCACCCAGGCTGGAATGCAGTGGCACAATCTCAGCTCACAGCAACCTCTGGCTCCCATATCCAAGCAATCCTCCTGCCTCAGCCTCCCAAGTAGCTGGAATTACAGGTGCATGACACCACACGGGCTAATTTTTGTATTTTTGGTAGAGATAGGGTTTCACCATGTTGAACTCAGGTGATCAGCCCTGAACTCAGGTGATCAGCCCACCTCAGCCTCCCAAAGTGCTGGGATTACAGATTTGAGCCACCATGCCTAGTCAAGAAATCTTTATATATTCTAGATATAAGTTCCATCAGCTATATGATTTTCAAACACTTTCTCCCATTCCGTGAGTTATTTTTTCACTTTCTTGATGGTGACATTTGAAGCACAAAAGCTTTTAAGTTTCTTCAAGTCCAATTTATCTATGTTTTCTCTTGTTTTGAGACGGAGTCTTGCTCTGTTGGCAGGCTGGAGTGCAGTGGTGCAATCACTGCTTACTGCAACCTCCACCTCCTGGGTTCAAGCGATTCTTCCACCTCAGCCTCCTGGGTAGCTGGGACCACAGGCACATGCCACCATGTCTGGCTAATTTTTGTATTTTTAGTAGAGAAGGGGTTTCACCATGTTGGCCAGGATCGTCTCAATCTTTTGACCTCGTGATTCACCCGCCTCGGCTTCCAAAAGTGCTGGGATTACAGGCGTGAGCCACCATGCCCGGCCTTTTTCTCTTGTTAACTGTGCTTTTGGTACCATATCTGAGAAGGCTCTGCCTAACCCAAAGTCATAAAGATCTACTCCTATATTTTATTCTACAGGTTTCATAGTTTTAGCTCTTAAATCTTGTCTATATCTTTTCCCTACTTGCAAATTAATACCACTGATAGTACACATACAACCCATTTTCTTCTTTAGTATCAAAGTGCTTTGGTGGTTCACGCCTAATCTACTCTATAACGAAGAAATGATCTGCTCATGGCATTTTAATTTGTAGTATTGAACAAAACTCGTCTATGGGATGTGGTAAATTTCTGCTTCATGCTTCCAGTTGCACACATTTTATTTTATTTTTATTTTTATTTTTTGAGATGGAGTTTTGCTGTTGTTACCCAGGCTGGAGTGCAATGGCACGATCTCGGCTCACCGCAACCTCCGCCTTCTGGGTTCAGCAATTCTCCTGCCTCAGCCTCCCAAGTAGCTGGGACTACAGGCACGCGCCACCATGCCCAGCTAATTTTTGTATTTTTAGTAGAGACAGGGTTTCACCTTGTTGACCAGGATGGTCTCGATCTCTTGACCTCGTAATCCACCCGCCTCGGCCTCCCAAAGTGCTGGGATTATAGGCATGAGCCACAGTGCCCGGCCGCACACATTTTAAATAAGAATAAAGGCTGGGCACAGTGGCTCATGCCTATAATCCCAGCATGTATGGAGGCCAAGGCAGGCAGATCATGAGGTCAAGAGACTGAGACCATCCTGGCCAACATGGTGTAAACCCTGACTCCACTAAAAATACAAAAAATTAGCTGGATGTGGTAGCGTACCTGTAGTCCCAGCTTCTAGGGACGCTGAGGCAAGAGAGTCACTTGCATCCAGGAGGTGGAGGTTGCCATGAGCCAAGATCCAGTCTGGCAACAGTGTGAGACTCTGTCTCAAAAAAAGAATAAAGCTACCCTCCTTGCATTCTATGATCAGAACCAAAGTGTAAGCTGCTGCTTCAAAATTTAAAGATAAGAGAGCTCCACAGTCATATTCCTAAACTCTAAATCTTTGGAAAATATAAATTTAATTGCTGTAATTATAATTACTATGACATGGTCATATGTTTTTGTAGGATTACTGTCAAGTTCCTAATGTAACCATGATAGAGGAAACTGTAACTTAAGTAAAGAATTTAATTCAACTAAGATTTATTGAGCAAAGCATTGTGGGAAGTGCTGAGAGGACTAAGTCATAGTTCTGGACTGAAAGGAGGTTATAATTTAGTGGGGATTTTAAAAACCAGATATAGGAAATTTACAACAAAGAATAGTGTATATTTTATTTTTTTAAAAAAGAAACTGATAGTTAAATTCAGTATTTCTGTGCGACTATTCTGCCCTAAAGGAACTAATGAGGGCACACCTCCCTAATACTGAGGCTCAGCAAATCCTTTATCTCATTCTGTAATCTTGGAGCTCTAGCTCTAAATTACAAAGATACTACTGGAAAGCTATGTGAAAATTATGTTTTTTATAAAAATAATAATATATGTAAGGGAATAATAATATATGTGACAAGTTAAAGGCAATCTTTTAAAGTGAAAGGTTTCCTGTAATGCAAAGAATACTCTGCCTTACATGAACTTTTGTCTCCTCAAGCAGGAAATCCCCACTGTTCCCACTGGGATATAGTTTCATCATTTAGCTATTTTGACTACCAAATCCTTTTCCATGACGCTCTTCTTTAATGTGTAGCTTTTGAGTTATATCAACACCTGATTTTTTTGTAAGTCTAAAAAAAATTGAATTTGAATATATTTTCTAGTTTCCAAGTTATTATCCCTTAAGACATCTTGGCTCCCAAGTCTAAATTTCTCTATTCTTTTTTCCTTTCAACTCTCTACATCTGGAATGCTAGAAACACCCTGTGGCTTCAGGTCAAATCAATGTTTATTTCATCAAATCAAAAAATAATGTGTTCTTACATTAGAAAGAGAAGTTGAAGAATATTTTGGCTGAGTTGTGTGGTTTATCCACAGTACCACATTCTGGTTTAAATGATTTCATCACTCAGTCAAAAAGCTGCCAAAATTTCACTGGTTTTCTAGTTACAGTCAATAAAATAAAGAAAAAAAAAACCCTATAATCTTCATGACTAAGCAAGTCTTGAAAAGAACAGTTAGGAAATTCCTTTGACAACATGAAAGGTACACACAAAAATACTCATGACAAAAACAATTTATTCTGAGCTAGGACCTCCAAAATGATCAATAAGGTTGTATAAGAAAAAATTGTTGTCTGCATCAACTATATTAGCTACTTAAATGCTCTTTTAGGCATCTAGGATAATGGAATTCACTTTAAAATTCTTTTGTAGATTTAGAGTTGGATAAATATTTTACTTCCTTACTTTTAGTCTTACTTACCTTGTGGCAACAAGTGGGTAGCTGTGACATGGTGATGCCCAGGCATCTCTTGTCCATGGCATACAGTCATAGAGCAGCAAATCCTTCTCAGTCACAGCCATGAGGACAGGTCTCCATTGTTGTCTTCCACCATCTAGTTTTGCCTGTTACAGTGGAAAAATTCAGAAATCAGGGCTTAGCATAATGATATGTCTCTGTAAGTTCCTCCAGTGATGGCCTAACATAATAGGTCTCTATTTTGTTTCCCCAACCTGACAGACTTGACATACAGGAAACATCTCACTAGGTTTACAATGGTAGGGATTCTCCGGTGGGAGACGTGAAGTGGTGTGTGTATTATAGACATTATCTGGTGATACAACATAGGTTTTCCCCATTCCATAATAACTAAATATTGCCAATTCTTTTTTTTCTTTTTTCAGACAGGATGTCACTCAGCTTCCCAAAATGCTGGGATTACAGGCATCAGCCACACGCCTGGCCAATATTGCCAATTCCAATTAAATATGTTCTAAATAATAGGTTTCAGAAAGTCTGATGTGTAATATCTTCTAAACAGGACAGAAACTCCTACTACCAAATAAGTCTGTATAATCTAAATACCAATGTTTTTTATCAAGACTTACAATAAGAAATACAGGTTACATTGCAACCCAATATACACATACATAGTTGAATAAAATATTTTCCAAACAACACAACTCTCTTATTTTGTGCAATGTAATCTGTTAATGTCTTTTTTTTTTTTTTTTGAGATGGAGTCTTGCTCTTTTGCCAGGCTGGAGTGCAGTGGTATGATCTCCACTCACTACAACCTCTGCCTCCTGGGCTCAAGTGATTCTCCTGCCTCAGCCTCCCCAGTAGCTGGGACCAGGCTTGTGCCACCATGCCCAGCTAATTTTTGTATTTTTAGTAGACATGGGGTTTCATCATGTTGGCCAAGATGGTCTATATCTCCTGATCTCGTGATCTGCCTGCCTTGGCTTCCCAAAGTGCTGGGATTACAGGCGTGAGCAATCGAGCCCAACCTGTCTATCATATTTTTTAAAACGCTGATCACAATTCATTATGTTGTATTTTATAAAATACTTTTATTTTTTCTTTTTTAAAAAACTTTTATTAACCCAGAACTTAGCAGCTTAAGAAAACACTTAAATTATTTTCAAAGAATTCTCCACTATATTTTAGAAGTTTATGTTTCAGCTTAGAAGGTACCATTGCATTTACTCACAATGTTTGGTTATCTCTGAAAAATGCTTGGTTTTAAACTGCAGGGAAACGACTATTGTCCATATTGTCAAGGATCCAAGGCCAAAAAGCCCAAGACAACATTCAGGAAAAGACCTGTCATCACCAAAACTTCTCCCTCCTCAGGAGACCTTTGAGCAAGGACTGTTTAACAACGCTGTATTTTAACACTGATCCTTCAGCTCAGCATCACTGAAAGCTTCAAGGAGAATTCAAGCTGACAAATCATTGTCTCTTACAGCATTGCCTTCAGAGCCCTTTTCACGTGTTTTCTTTAAAGACTTCTGAAGGTAATTTGGACACGACAGAGAACCTTACATCTATAATCTGAAAGTGGCCTGAGTGGTTTGGTTCTGTGCTATAACATCTATCACTGGGACTCTTTTCTCCTAGGCAGAGCCACGAGCTAGATTCCAAAAGTGGGAAATAAATTCTAGCCAGTGAAGGGACCAGTGGTCGACCATGTGCTGAAAAGAACAAAAAACAAAACCTAACTCTGAGAATTCAAGCAAAATATTGTAGAAATAATTACGCATTTCTTATCAGTGAACCCTAGTTTTCTAAGACTCTATATTAGTCTATGGTTAACTCTGCAATGTCTGGAAGGATGGTATCAGCTCTATTTTTGGATCACAGATACCCCAAAGGGATTTCTAGTTTATCTTCACTACTATGTCTTTGTCCCCAAGATTATTAGATAGCATTTCAGTAGGTTACAAAATATAAAACTCTGTCTTCCCAAACGGTTAAAATAAACAGATTTTTTATTTTTGAGACGGAGTCTTGCTCGACTGTCAGCCAGGCTGGAGTGCAGTGGTGCGATCTCGGCTGACTGCAACCTCTACCTCCTGGTTTCAAGCGATTCTCCTGCCTCAGCCTCCAGAGTAGCTGAGATTACAAGCATGAGCCACAACATCCAGCTAATTTTTGTATTTTTAGTAGAGTCAGGGTTTCACCAGGTTGGTCAGGCTGGTCTTGAACTCCTGACATTGTGATCTGCCCGCCTCGGCCTCCCAAAGTTCTGGATTACAGGCATGAGCCACCATGCCTGGTGATAAACTGATTAAAAACAAATTTTTTTCCTGGGTGAGTGCAGTGGCTCACGCCTGTAATCCTGACATTTTGGGAAGCCCAGGTGGGCAGATCACTTGAGCCTGGGCAACATGGTAAAACCCCATCTCTACAAAAAAACAAATATCAGCCAGGCATGATGGTATGCATCTGTGGTCCCAGCGACTCAGGGGGCTGAGGTGGGAGGATTGCTTGAGTCCAGGAGTTGGAGGTTGCAGTGAGCTGAGATTGTACCACTGTATTCCAGCCTGGGCAACACAGGGAGACCCTGTTCCAAAAAATTAAATAAATAAAATAAAATAAAATAAACAAATGAATAATTTTTCCCCTTAAGTTACAAGAAAGAGATTCTGAAGGCTAGACCAGAGCATATGCATTTGGAAAACCTAAATTAAATGTATTTCTTCCCAAAGAAGGTATTTTGAGCCCTAAAGGAAAAATGCTAATGCCATTAGAAGCAATGTCCAATTTCAAGAAATTTTTGGCCAATTTTTGGCCGGGTGCAGTAGCTCACGCCTATAATCCCAGCACTTTGGGAGGCCAAGGTGGGTAGATCGCCTGAGGTCAGGAGTCTGAGACTAGCCTGACCAACATAGTGAAACCCAGTCTCTACTAAAAATACAGAAAATTAGCTGGGCTTGGTGGCGGGTGCCCGTAATCCCAGCTACTCAGAAGGCTGAGGCAGGAGAATCACTTGAACCTGGGAGGTGGAGTTTGCAGAGATGGCGCCAGTGCACTCAAGCCTGGGCAACAAGAGCAAGACTCCGTTCTTCTCCCTCCCCCCGCCAAAAAAAGAAAAAAGAGAACTTTGTGTTTAACAAGTTTTTACAAGCGTTTGCTCTTTTTTTTTTGGTTTGTTTCCTGGGACGGAGTTTCGCTCTTGGGGCCCAGGATGGAGTGCAATGGCGCGATCTAGGCTCACGGCAACCTCCGCCTCCCGGCTTTTCAAGCAATTCTCCTGCCTCATCCTCCCAAGCAGCTGGGATTACAGGCATGTGCCACTACGCCCAGTTAATTTTGTATTTTCAGTAGAGACGAGGTTTCTCCATGTTGTTAAGGCTGGTCTTGAACTCCCGACCTCAGGTGATCTGCCTGCCTCGGCCTCCCAAGTGCTGGAATTACAAGTGTGAGCCATCGCAGCTGGCCAAAAGTGTTTACTCTTTTAGCTTTTTCAAGTCCTTAGCTTTTAGAGAGTATCTTTTCCCTCTTCTATTTACCATTGGGGAAAAAAAAAATTAAACCTCAATTTAATCCTTTTGATTGCCTATTTGCCTTAACTTTTTTTTTGAAATGGAATCTCGCTCTGTTACCCAGGCTGCAGTGCAGTGGCGCCAACTCAGCTCACTGCAACCTCCACCTCCCAGGTTCAAGCGATTCTCCTGCCTCAGCCTCCTGAGTAGCTGGGATTATAGGCATCCACCACCATGCCCAGCTAATTTTGTATTTTTAGTAGAGATAGGGTTTTGCCATGTTGGCTAGGCTGGTCTTGAACTCCTGACATCAGGTGATCCACCCACCTCAGCCTCCCAAAGTGCTGGGATTACAGGCGTGAGCCACCACTATGCCTGGCCTTGCCTTAAATTTTAAGGATACTGTTTGCTTTCAGTGAAGTCAAATGCTGTCTGCTATATATAGTATGTGTTTTAAAAAAAAAAACACTTTTTTTTTGAGATGGAGTCTCGCTCTGTCACCAGGCTGGAGTGCAGAGGCGCGATCTCGGCTCACTGGTTCAAGCAACTCTCCCACCTCAGCCTTCCAAGTAACAGGAATTACAGGCACAAGCCACCACACCCAGCTGATTTTTTGTATTTTTAGTAGAGACGGTGTTGCACCATGTTGGCCAGGATGGTCTCGATCTCCTCACCTCGTGATCCACCCACCTCGGCCTCCCAAAGTGCTGGGATTACAGGCATGAGTCACCTCTCCCGGCTGTATGTGTTTTTTGATTATGGTATTGGCACAAGCAGCCTTGGGGATCCCATTATTGAGTTTCTGGCCAGAGACAAAAGGGATACGAATGTCAGGGCTTGGTTTGCCTGTGTTTGAACAACCACACATACATAAACCTGGCCAACTTACAGCTTTCTCCAAATTTTATTTCTAAAAAACAGAGGTGGATAGCACTAAAAATGAAAAAATACTAAAAGTTATTATTTGTTCCACTAATCCCTTAATTCCTTTTTGACAGGCAATGAACTTCTGTTCCTTTATTATTACAATAAAAAATGGAGAGCAAAAAGTAAATAATTAATTACACTAATCCTGAATGAATGTATATGATTCTAACTTGAGTCTTTATGCACTTTGAGAGCTAACAGGGATAAAGTAGTAACTATGAAAATAAACCTTTTCTTGGTTTTTTCATTCATTCATTCATTCGTTCATTCAATTATTTATTTATTTGAGACAGTGTCTTACTCTGTTCCACAGGCTAAAGACCAGTAGCATTAGCCAGGCGAGGTGGCTCACACCTGTAATCCCAGCACTTTGGGAGGCCGAGGCGGGTGGATCACGAGGTCCAGAGATCGAGACCATCCTGGTCAACATGGTGAAACCCCGTCTCTACTAAAAATTACAAAAAATTAGCTGGGCACGGTGGCGTGTGCCTGTAATCCCAGCTACTCAGGAGGCTGAGGCAGGAGAATTGCCTGAACCCAGGGGGCGGAGGTTGCGGTGAGCTGAGATCATGCCATTGCACTCCAGCCTGGGTAACAAGAGCAAAACTCCGTCTGAAAAAAAAAAAAAAAATACAAAAGTTAGCTAGGCATGGTGGCTCATGCCTGTAATCCCAGCTACTTGAGAGGCAAAGGTAGGAGAACTGCTT